CCCCCAAAAAAAAAAAAAATCCGCCCCTGCAGCTCGCTTTGAACCATCTTTTTGCCAGGTACCTTTGCTGTCTACTTCGTAATCAACACTCAACAAACGAAGCGTTCTTTTCATACGATGAACATCTTTGGCTGTGTTTGCCGCAGTTTGTAGAATACATGCAAGTTATGCCAAAACCCTTCTAAGCGTTTGATTTTAGCTTATGGATCCAGTAACACACCTATGTAAATATATATAAGACTACCCAGAAGAAGTTAAATATACTTGCAGGCATACTCCGAAATAACTCCGAACTTATCTGTCCGCAATGATTTCGCTATAATTACCGAAGCAGCTTGTAGAGTACAAAAAAACAACGAAATAAAAGTGTTTTTTTGTGTGTTTTTTTTTGCATGGAAGTGTACACATTTTATTAATGATGTACCACCATCAAATAAACCCACTCCTCTTGCTTAAAAGAAAATTTTGAACCGACGGCATACTTCTCAGACAAAAGTGTACTCCTGAAAAAAATGAAAAAGTTTCTGTGTTGGCCATTACTGTAAGAAAAGTTCTATTTTGTAAGTAAACAGTGAAAGCTAAACGGACGACATTCTAGCCCAGAGGGTTCTTCTTTCACGATTTATCCCTTTGGAGACCATAAAATATTTTCTTAAAATAATATATTTCTTTTTGGGCCACTTTTGTGAGAAAAACTCCCTGTAGCGCCTAAACGGTGAGAGATAGCGCCAAACGGACAAAATTTTTGCCCCCAAGGACTCTCCTGTCTAAAGTCACCCCTTTGGAGACTATCAAATATTTTCTAAAATTAATGTATTTACTTTAGGGCCTTTTTTGTGAGAAAAACTCACTCTAGCGCCTTAACGGTGAGAGATAGAGCCAAACGGGTTTCGCCCAAACGACTCTACTACTACACGTTACCCTATCGGATACAATAAAAAAAAATTCTTTTTACACTTCCTGGACCAACCCATATTTCTTTGTTACCCCCTAAGACCCACTCAGGGGTGGTTGCCAGGATTTGCACCAACCGTTTCGTTGTCCAGAAGTGACAACAATAATCCCCTGAAAATTTCAAACCTCTGGCTCACGTCCTTCTTGGGGAACAGACAGACGGATAGACAGACAGACACAGGGGAAATGGCATTAGCCCGCTTTTACAGCTTTTAAGCAAAAGAGCGGGCTAAAAATGATAAAACCTTCGAGGGTCGCGACGGTTGCGCCACATGTCAGCCAAATATGGCATGGCACACGGCTGGCACTGGCATACCAAAGACCTCCCGCAGCAAACGTATACAGGATGTTCATCACCCCGCTAGTCTCCCTACTAACGACATCCCGATGTAGTACGTCCTGGTGACATTCATAGGCATCTCTAGAAGATGCATAATACTAACGTCTTTACAAAAGACATGCTGGTCAGCTCCCTCACTGAACGTCCCGAACCCAACGGGTGCCCCTGAGGAGGTACTCGTATGTAACGTCCTGCTCGATGACATTCTGAGTAGATAGCTCCTCGGCGACACACCACAAGGAGCTTTACCGTAGGTATATCCGAAGGAGTAACTTCTAAGCACCTTTACTACAAAGTATCTCTCAATCAGATCCCAGCCTAGATGTCAATGTGCTGCTCAGCACATCCTGATTTGCTCAAAGGCATGAATTTTTGGAATGTTCTAGTAGCACGTGTGAGGGATTCGTGTGGAATGATCCCAAACTCCCAAAAGTAAATGAGAGCTGCTTTGTTGACTGGGTACTTAATACTCAGGTATCTCACCGGCACGGGAGTGCCCCGATGCTTCCACAGAAATCTCCTCCAAGATCAGTTGGACGAAAACTCTGGCCAAATCTCCTCCATAATTTGTGGATGTAAATTTTTATCCACACAATTGTTTTCCATAAAGTAGAAGAGAGTTGCCAGTTGGCGCGTGGAAGTAAAATCTCCTCCACAGCACTTTGAGAGATTCTTTTCCACAAGTCGATACCTTAGACTAAAAGGCACCCAGTCCAGTCGCCCGATCCAAGACTAACGCAGTTCAGACGCGCAATCCGAAAGACACGCAGATCAGCCACTCGATCCAAGACTAACGCACTTTCCCGCTCGAGTTCGAAATTCAGTTTCAGTTCATTCGGGCGCCGCGCCGTGGCGAGCCGCAACGCGCCGCCGCGCTGCTCTGCCGCTCGACCCGCTCGTCGCACCGACGCGCCGCCTTTCCCGCCGTAACAATATTTCGGAGAGGAAGAAGACTGGTAACAACGTTGAGTCTCCCTACAATATCTGTTTGCAGCATGGCGTCGCGTCCGTGCAACAACATACTATCTGTTTCGGTCAGCCGCAAGACCATCCTATCTGTTTCGGTATGCCGCAAGACCATCCTATCTGTTTCGTGAGGTATCGCGAAGCCTGTTACGCGAGACGTGGTCTGGCGTACATCTACCTTGTTACTTGGTTGACCTGCAGAATTGGGAAAAGAACACTAACAAGGAAAAGGTTTCGTGGAGCAAGGTGAGGGAAGTTGTCACTGATTAGAAGTCTCCAAGCACTGTATTTTATCGGTACGATTTCACTGATCAGTTGAAGACAGTCAAGGTCACTATGAAAGATGGTATTGCTATAGACCTAAGTACTTTTGAGCCACCTTAAGCATATCAATCTAAATTTCCATTGCCTGAACGGAAGAAAAAAGACCTTCAGAGCCTGTGCCAAAAGATGGCTATCCCTACTAAGTATCATCCAGTGTTTGATCGTTACTGTGCTATATGAGCTCTGTTTCCAACTCAGAGAAAGAAGTTGGCAATAGGTTCTCTCCCTGTCTAAGGTGTCGAAGTCAATAACCTCCACACAAAAACACCTCCACAGTCTTGTGGGAAAAAAATTGCCTTCCACGCAAAGTACCTCTACAATTTGTGGAGATTATTTGCTGACGGATGTAATTTAAAAACAAATCATCCACAACACGAAGTGGAAACTCTTCCACACGGCTTTGAAAAGGCCTCCACTGCACCGAGCTTGCCGCCCCCGGCAGGTGGTCGGCGGGTTGTCCTACCCACTGGCTTGCAGGCGCTTAGATGGAATTCCGTAAAACAATATCCTCCACAACACGCAGTGGAAACTCTTCCACACTACCACTACCTACTCCAATAGCCATTTGGGTTAACAAACGTAGTTTTCCCCGTGCCCTTTAGAGCAGCCGATATGCAACCAAACCTGCCGTATCAGGGCAGTTGCCTAGCTGCTCACTTTGCTCACTTTATTACCTACTCATATTTGTTTACCTCTGGTTCCAAAACCTGTACTTGGCTGGGGCGGGGAAATAGAATATGACACAGCTATAAGAGAAAGCAGTTAAAAGCAAGCTTTTATTCAAACAAAATGTGAACTTGTTTGGTGGAAAGTGAGATTTTCCCAGACTTTGCCCAGGGAGGGCAGAAGCTATAGCAGACATTCAGTGCAAGCAACAATGTACAGCGTGCGTACTCTTCTCCAAACATTTCGATCCTCCAGCACTCGCAGGCACATGCAAACAAACACAAAAAAAAACTGTGTCAGTAATTTCACAACATAATCAGGTGTCTCCTTTACACCGCGGGCGCACTTTCCTAAAACAAAAAGATAGGCGATCGGACATCAAGGTCCGATCGGCGGTGACATAGGCGTATCTTGGCACATGCCGTAGTATTGCAGGACTCTTTTTGTACTCGTTTGGATCGGTTTGGATCACGATCTGGCCGCATGAGCAATATCCTTCTTGTGGGCACAACCCAGAACAACCCGGTGTTGGTTCGGTACAGACGACTGAGACAAGGCCGTTAGTCCAGTCATATTGTGTTTTGACCCGGACAAAATTCCGAACAGTACCAAATTTTGGGGATCGTTTTATGGACCCCTAACGAAAGCCTAGCCGAAAGTCCCAAAGAATCCCATCGTGCAGATCGGCTCAAATCGTGTTCAAAGTTCAAAATTTTGAACATTTGCGACTTTTCGGTTTTTCTGGTCCCACAGCTGAACCGTTTGACCTACAAACCTGGGTGAGCGCTCAAAATGTTCGCCAAGCAACAGGCTACAAGATGCAATAATAATATTGACACTTTTGAACAGTTGAACATGTTCAAATTTGCGTTAAAGTCATTTTTTCCACTGTCCAAAATTCTTTCATGAACTTTGAGATTTATTTGCGGCCAAACCAGTTGGAAATCGCATAAAACACTATTACGTGACGTCCAAGGCACAAGTCTGATGAACAAAATGAGCTTTGAACGGAATTTCTGCGACCAAAATTGACGTAGCTATGGCCCGGTGACTGCGGCGCGGGCGGGCTGCGCTGCCGCCCCGGGCCCAGGAGGTAACCTAGGCGGTACACCGATACTTTCCGAAAAACGCCGCTATAGGGACACACAGAGTGTGATTTTTGGTTTCGTAGTTCATTAGACCATAATCTTTGATTTGAGTCGCAGTACACTCGTTTTGGAGACATAGGAGCCGAAATTTTAATGCAAATGTTCAAAAAAGACGAAATATTGAAAATTGTCGCAGAGACGCTATATAAGACACTTTTCCAGACGATTTCGACCTGACAAGGCGAATGGAGTACACCCCAAGTCCGTACGACCCCTCATTTTGGCCCAAAAAGCCGATTTTTTTGATTTTTTTTAGAGGCTTAATTCTTACGGGAGACGTTTTCGCCGTTGTACCCCGTGTTGGGTGTCGTTTTCGCAAATAAGGTATGTCAGAGGCTTAATATGAGGTCCTCGAAGCACTTTTGTCTACCAAGGACATTTTAGACCATGATACGCCCTGGTCCAAAATTGTTCAAAATGTTCAAATTTGTTAAAACGGCCTACAGAGTCCATCTTTAATAATTTTCCGAGTAATTTTAGTATGAAAAAGGCGATGAACCATACTGCAAGTGCGTACATCATACCAGTTAGCCCCCAAAGGACGCCATCCTGGAAAATAGGGGCCTAACTAACTTTCGTATAGCACCGTCACTGGCACTACGACCTCCGACCAGGCGGGAGGAGTAGTGCACAGTGGGTGGATACACCTCGCACTAGTAACTTATGAACCTTTTTAATTATAGCTTACCCTTCTTAGTTCTGTAAGCTGCCAAATATAGGTAATGAACACTCTCAGACTTGTGCTGATTTTCTTCTTATTAAACATCTATGTTTTGACGCAGTGGGACTACTGACTACAATGTTACTTATTCAGATTATTTTTGTCAGCAACTTTCTGACGAAAGAAATTGTCATTTGTGCAAAAAGGACTTATTTTGTATTGCTGACAAAAATTCAGTATCTTATAAAGGTTTTTAAGCAACAGTAATACTGACAAAAGGTAAAAAAATAATGAGAAGGAGTGTAAGTATTCCGCAAAAATAAGCGGTCTGTAATCTGTTTTTTTTTTTAAATAAGGGAGACTCTGGTGATCTGACATATGTCAGATGACCACACTCTCATCCATTAACTGATTTACCCCCTTCATAGCATTCTTGCTGCGTAA